AACCTCTTGCTATCCTAATCCCCTCAGTTCCTTCACCTATTTCTTTTCTAAGTGCTCATTACTTTTCATAATCTGTTTTACAGTTTTACCAGGAATTGAAGTTAAGTTCACAAGTTTGAAGAATCCACTTTTTTCTTCTTTTTAAAAATTAGTCTAGCATTTGTCCTTCACCAGAATTTTTCTTAGATCCAGCATTATTAAAAAGCTTTGATTGTTGTCTTTAGAATTTAAGGCTCGGATCATACTCTAGGGTTTTGCTTTACTGACATTCTTATAGGATTTTAACTGCTCTTTTATAGTCATCCTCAATTTACCTCTTGCTTCCATCCCTTCTTTATTACTTTCATTATTTATGATAAATAAATGTGTCATTGCTTTTGACTTTATTAATAAAGTATTAGATATATTATCTCTGAAATCTTTAAAATGAAATTTGATGGTTCTAAGACTAACTGTATGGAAAAGACTAAGAAAGCCAGGTTCAAGGAAAAGAGAGCAAGAGAACACTTTATGTAAAGTGATCAAGGACTCTAAAGTCTGCAAACCTGGGTTCAAATCCTACCTCTGGTGCTTGTGAACCTTTCTTGGTCCTGGACAAATCATTTAACCCCCTTGAGCCTCAGTTTCTTCATCAGTAAAATAAGGTCCTGGACTTAGATGGCCTTTGAAGTCTCTTCTAGCTTAAGCTCTAGTTCTGTGAAAGAGAATGCTAGGATTTATAGTCAAAAGGGAACTAGGAAATCATCTAGGGCAGCTCCCTTATTTTACACATAAGGAAACTGAGGCCCAGATAGGTTAAATGACTTTCTAAAGGTCACATCTGTTTCCCCGTCTCCTAGTTTTATGAAGGAATTTCTATTTGAGGAAATTGACACCAACTTTTGGTTCACTCTACTTGTTACTTAATGAGGTAGTAGTGTATTCATTATCCTTCATGGTAGTTTGTACTCTAACCTGCCATTACCCTTGGTTGTCATGTTTCTTTTGGCAAGGGAATTGTGTATTAGTCAGGAATTCTTGGGCTTCCTTGTTATTATTTTGCTTTGGTTAAACTTTTCTGGAAATCAATTCTAAAGCTGATATCTTTACTTGATTTAAGTTCCCACTTTTCTGGAACTTAAAAAAATTAACTTTTTTTTTTTAAAGAATGCATTCCCAGCTATATCAATAAATAATGTTAATGTCAGGTTAAATTACTTCTAAGTATGTCTTTCTATTTTGTTTGCTAACAGACATCTGCCTTAACACTTAATTCTAACAGTTTTGAAATTTATATTTTAAGTTGTAACTATATATATATGTATACACACACAGACACATTTTATTTTGTTTTCCTCATAAAGTGATTGATAAACTTCTTTTTGGTGAATTCCACATATTTGGTTTTTAATGCATTTTAAGGTTGGAAACTTTGCTTTATTTTAACTGTAGTGTTTTTGTAGTAGAACCAAAGATTTTAAAATGTTGAATGATCCCCAGAGTTCATCCAATCTAGCTCCTATCCAAATTATTAATTCCATTTGTAACATTCCTGACAAATCATCCTTCGCTATCTGAAGACCTCTAGAGTCTGGGAGTTCATTATTTTCTAGAGACAATCTATTTTATTTTGAGAGAACTTACAGTATTAGGAAGTTTTTCTCTATATCAAGACAAAAATCTCTTTTCTTATAACTTATACCCATGAATTTTGGTGCTTCTGGGGCCAAGCAGAAAGGATCTAATTGTTCTATAAGTTAGTTAAGAATAGCTTAAATTAAGCCTAAGAGTAGCAGCGTTTCCTCTTAATTCATTCCCTCCCCCCAGCTTCTCTTCTCCAGGCTAGACATACCCAGATCTTTCAGCCAATCCTGATGTGAATTGGTAGTACTGCGCATCTTGTTGCCATCCTGAATATATGGATGGTAAAATACTTTAGTGGATTATTTATATGGGAGAGAATTTAATCTTTCTTAAAAATGTGAAGTTTACCAGGGAGAGACAAATATTTCTAAGTTTATTTCTAGGTTTATGCTTCTTAGATAATTTAATGCCTCTTAAATGCTGAAGCCAAGGATGAAGCCTAGTCAAGAATGGGAAATAGAGACAGACTTTGCCCGATACAACATTTTTGAACTTCATATTCAGTGAATGACAGATTAGGATGCTTCATCCCATCCCAATAAGCTCTAGCCTCTTAACACCATTACATTAATGAGCTTTCTCTGAAATGCAGGCCCAGGGTTTTGGTACACCATAGTAGCATTTGGAGGTGGGGTGAGGAGAATGAGATTCCCTCCTTGTTTGGGGACTTTTGCTACTGGAAGCAGCCAGATCTACAGATCTCTTTGCTGAGTACTTGATACTCATCAGTACTGTCATTCTGTGATCTGTCAGATGCTTTGGGAAAAGTTTGGAGAAGGAAGAAGGGGTGTATATATACGTCACATAAATTTTTTCACATATATACTATATATGTATACTTAAGAGATGGGGGTAGGGAATGGTGGAAGCTACAAAGTATCTTTGCCCTTGACACTTTATTTCGATTAATATGTCTATGAAGTAATATGGGCATATCAATTTAACTACATAGCATATCCCAAAGGGGGTCACAAAAAATTGTAAATGACTGAACAACAACGGCAATATTCCTTACAGCCTCTTTTGTATTCTTATTGCCCTCACCCTGTTATCAAATGAGATAATGTATGTGCAATGATTTGTAAATTTGTAAATGTGAATTACTCCTGCTGGTCCTGCTGCTGCTGCTGCTCCTGCTACTGCTGCTGCTACTACTACTACTACTACTGCTACTACTACTACTACTACTACCACTACTACTACTACTACTACTACCACTACTACTACTATAAGGCCCCATTACTACTTGCCTACCTTGTAATAGCCTTCAGACTAGTAATACAATATAAAAGCAGAAGGAACCTTAGACATCATCTCATTTCACAGGTGAGTAAATTGAGGTGTTGGATATTAAGTGACTCATCCAAAGTCACATAACTGCCAAGCGGCTTTGGCCAGTCTAATTAGTACTCCCTCTACTCTATGTTTAAACCTTTGTTATATAAACAAATCTCATCATATTACTCCTCTGCTCACTGTTGTTGACTTTGGAATAAAATCAAAACTCCTTTTGCCTGACATTCAAGTCCTTACACAGTCACTTTGACCCTACCTTTAGGCCACACCTTATAACCTGATCATTAATTATTTGCTTTTCTCTCCTTGATAAATGTTCACTTCTTTCCTTTTCTGTCCTTTGCTTAGTATTTATACCAATCACAGACTCTTATTCATAAAACATTCTTTCAGTGAAAACAACTGTATTTGAAAATCATATAATTAATTATTAATTTAATCTTCCATTTCTGTACCTTAGGCTAAACCAAGAATCTCCTCCACCCCTACTCCCACTAATTATGTAATAGGAAGTGAATTCTACATCAAGGCTCTGTACTTTCTAGCAGTATGGCCTTGGACAAATGATTAACCTTTCTGGGCTTTAGTTTCCTCAGCTATAAAGGGATTTTGATGAGATATCCTGTAAGTTCCCTTCCAGCTCTAAATCTGTGATTTTATGAATAGTATGATAACCTTTTGACTTGAAACTAAAAATTCATTAGGTAGCATGATATGGTTGAAAGAGCACTGACCTTGATTTTAGGGAACCATAGTTCTGGATTATGCCTATGAAAGTGTTTTTTGACATTGCAAAAGTCACTTTAACTTCAGTAGGTCTCATTTTTCTTATCTATACCAAGGTCCTTTTCAACTCTATTATTCAATTTATTAAAGTATCATTTCTGTGAAAAAGATCTGAAATAAACTAGAAAAAAAACCCGGAAGATGTTGTTGTGTTTTCATGTGGAAGTAGAAATGGAGGTAATACTTATAGGTCCTTGTTTCCAGATTGGAAGTAGGGATCTTTTTTCTACTTCCCCCTTACATAGGTAATAAAACAAGAAAATGTTATTTGGGGTGGCAGGAGGAGATTAAAAAAAAAGAGAGACTTGCCAAACTGGGGGCTATTTGGGGTATAAAATGAAGCTTAAATAGAAAATGTTGGTTCAAATTCAAAATAAAACTGTCTTAATATATTCTGTGGTTGCAAACAGGAGTATACTAACACGTGAATTATCTCCATATTAAAAAAAAAACTACCTGTCATTAAGGTTAAAAAAAAACTTTAGCTATTATATGTTTTCAAGTTCATCATTGGTTTTTTTTGTTTTTTGCTAGTGGGGTTAAGTGAATGCTCTAGGGTCACACGGCTAGTAAGTGTCAAGTATATGAGGCCAGATTTGACCTCAGGTCCTCCTGACTCCAGGGCTGGTGCTAGTCTATCCACTGTGCCACCTAGCTGCCCCTATTGTTTTATCTTGTGAAAGCAATGAATGAATGAATGAATGGTACTCTATATGAGGAATATAAGTATGCATAAATAAAATAGGCTGTGCATTCATGGAGCTTAGTATAAGACCACTTATAAAAGTGAGCTACAAAAGGTCTAAGTATATGAAGCCTAGAGTGCCAGGGGTAGAGTCCAGGTTTCAGTGAGAAGGTTTGGGAAGGATGGCCAGCACAAGTTTCATTTATTTATTCATTCATTCATTTAGATTTAATTAATTAAGCAGGAGTGAAAGTAATATATAGTCATAAGATTTTGTTTATTTGTATTTCTGATTACATAAGTGACATCCCAGTTAGTGAGAATAACAAACCATGTGAAGTGGTCACATATTCTAAGTTACACTGAATATTTTCATTGGGCTACAATTAATTTCCAAATTATACACAGTTATAATATTGAATAGCATAAATAGAGTGGACTATATTCCAGGTGGCTCAAATATATCCTAGGAATGCATAGTTACTTTTAAAATATTTGTTAGGCAGTAACGGTATTGATTGCAAAGTGTTTGTCATTGCTTTTTTTATTAGATTTTTAAAAAGTGAATACTTATAAAAATGTCTTTCTTTTTCTTCCCCAAACTTTATAGATGTGACTTACTTAACAGAAGAAAAAGTATACGAAATTCTTGAATTATGTAGAGAGAAAGAGGATTATTCCCCTTTAATACGAGTTATTGGAAGAGTATTTTCTAGTGCTGAGGCCTTGGTTCAGAGCTTCCGTAAAGCCAAACAACATACGAAGGAAGAACTGAAATCTCTTCAGGGAAAAGATGAAGACAAGGATGAAGATGAAAAGGAAAAAGCTGCATGTTCTGCTGCTGCTATGGAGGAAGATTCAGAAGCATCATCCTCAAGGATAGGTGATAGCAACTCTCAAGGAGATAACAACTTACAAAAATTAGGCCCTGACGAAGTATCTGTAGATATTGAAGCAATCAGAAGAGTCTACAACAGATTGCTTTCTAATGAAAAAATAGAAACTGCCTTTCTTAATGCACTTGTGTACTTGTCACCTAATGTGGAGTGTGACTTGACTTATCACAATGTGTACTCTCGGGATCCTAATTATCTGAATTTGTTCATTATTGTCATGGAGAATGGCAATCTTCATAGCCCTGAATATCTGGAAATGGCTTTGCCATTGTTTTGCAAAGCAATGAGCAAGTTACCCCTTGCAGCCCAAGCAAAACTGGTCAGATTGTGGTCTAAATACAGTGCAGACCAGATTCGGAGAATGATGGAAACGTTTCAACAGCTTATTACTTACAAAGTCATAAGCAATGAATTTAATAGTCGTAATCTAGTGAATGATGATGATGCCATTGTTGCTGCTTCAAAGTGCTTGAAAATGGTTTACTATGCAAATGTAGTAGGAGGAGAGGTAGATACAGATCATAATGAAGAGGAGGATGAAGAACCCATCCCAGAATCCAGTGAATTGACACTTCAGGAGCTTTTGGGAGAGGAGAGAAGAAACAAGAAGGGTCCTCGAGTAGACCCACTAGAAACTGAACTTGGTGTTAAAACTATAGATTGCAGAAAACCACTTATCCCTTTTGAAGAGTTTATTAATGAGCCACTGAATGATGTTCTAGAAATGGACAAAGATTATACTTTTTTCAAAGTAGAAACAGAAAACAAATTCTCTTTTATGACTTGTCCCTTTATATTGAATGCTGTCACCAAGAACCTGGGATTGTATTATGATAATAGAATCCGAATGTACAGTGAACGACGCATTACTGTGCTCTACAGCTTAGTTCAAGGACAACAGTTGAATCCATATTTACGACTCAAAGTCAGACGTGATCATATCATAGATGATGCACTTGTCCGGGTAAGTTATGTGGTCATTTGAAATACACACTAGAATATTAAGTTAATTATAGGAAAGATGGAGAAGCCAATGTATAGAGCTATGTGCTGAATTCATTTTATAACTGGGTAAAAAAATGTATGATGACAGCATACTGTAATATAGAAGTTATAGTGAATGTTTATAGGCACAATTGAATTTCATGAGTAATGTGGTAGTACTATGACTTTTGCCCATCAAATTCAAAGTTAACAATTTTATATTTCTTTACAAACTAAAGATTAAAATATATGTTATTACATTAGTAATTACCCCTTTCACTAGAAGAGAGTAGGATTTTTTCATTTCTACAAGGACATGATAAAAATCGTTTGCCAGCCAGTTCCAAATATATTTTAAAAATAGAGATTAAGGAAATAGAAGATACACAAAATCCAGAGGAATTTGGAATCACTAGCAAAAGCCACAAACATAAAGACCTTCATAGGAGAGGAAAGATTAGTAGCCCTCATACAGGCAGTTAGCAGATATCATCTATTTGAATTTCTAATAATCCTTTTCCAAAAATTACTTGTGAATCATAAAGTTTAAAGCTGAAAGGAAACTTCAGATCTAATCAAGCTCATTCAATTTATAGATAAGGAAATTGTGGACCAGAGAGGGTAAAAGCCTTGCCCAAGGTCATAAAAATAGTAAACATAAAAGGCTTGGATCTGGACCCAGATTTTCTGCCATCCAATATTATACCCCCATTTCTGCAGAAGGCCTTTCCCTGTTCTCCACATTACTATACTGGCCCCTGCTTTCTAAAATTATTTTCAATTTTGTGTGTGTGTGTGTGTGTGTGTGTGTGTGTGTGTGTATCATGTATGTGTTGAGTTATTTACATGTTTTGTCTCATTAGAATGTGAGCTCCTTGACTGTAGGACCATATTTTTGCCTTTTTTTTTTATTCCTAGTACTTAGCACAGGGCTAGTGCTTAATAAATGCTTGTTGACTGATTGTCTGCATTCCCTCCACCACACTAGATTCCCTAAAACTGGAGTTATAAGTTCCTATAAACATCTATAAATTTTTTTAGCTTACTTTCAACAATTTATGCTAATGGAGGACAGGGCTAGTGAAGATGAATGAAAATTATAAGTAATTCCTAAATTATCATTATTAGCCTTGGAGAGTGAAGGATATGCCTTTTACCATTTTCTTCTATAAACCCTCCTTGGAAGTAAATATAAATATCAGGAAGAAGGAGGGGGAGCAGTTAGCTCCAGAACAATTGAAAATTAATTGTATTGTATCATAGCATTTAAAAACCATAAATTTAATCCACTATTTTGCTTAAAGTAATAAAAACAATTTCTTTATCTTTAGTTTTCAGCATGGAAACAAAAATACTGGTTTTATTCTGGTTTTGAACAAATTGAATATCTTTCCTACTCATAGATGAAAGTATAATTAACTTTCAGTAGTCCACACTAAGGGAATTGGGAATCTTATGGCAAAGTTAATTTTTTTTTAAAGTATAATGTTATTTATTTATTTGTACATTAGTTTTTGACATTGACTTTTATAAGATTTTGAGTTGTAGCTTTTCCCCCCTCCCCAAGATGTCAAGCAGTCTGATACAGGCTATACATGTAGGAAAGTTAATTTTTAAAAGTTGTATTAGACCCAGTTTATGCAGCTTGACTTGGTAGAAAAGATAACTGGCTTCAAGACCTGCTTCTGGTGCTTAGTGGCTACCCTGAGCGAATTATTCAACCTCTTAGTACTCTAGTTAACTCTCATATAGACTATAAATTGCAGGCAAGATGCTTACCTGCATTAATAGAGTGTAGAGGTAAATCATAATTAGTTTCAAATCTTTCTGTCTTATTGATTGCAGGTGTCTTAATACTAGAGTGCTTATAACTTTTAAAACACAAATTCCTTAGTCTTCCTTCCAATGCAAAAGTTGGTTGGATAGTGGCAGAAAGCCCCAGAAAAGGCAGATGGCAGAAACACATCTCTCTTTCAGGTTTGAGCTTGCTTGCTTATTAATCTGTTAGGTTTTTTTTTTTTCATTTTAACCATGTGATTCAGAACCACACTCATAGTTACTAATTTAAATAGCCAGTTCTCAATCAGAGATTCCTACAAACTTAGAGGGTTTGGCTGAAGTGTAGACATTATACATACATGTTGTATTATGGAGTTTTCAGGGCAAATGGGGGTGCCAGAGCACAAAACTCTGTACTAAGACTTCTTGGTTCATTCCTTTTAGCTCTGTGGAGGCTATTCCTTATGCAGTAATTACGGCTGTCCTTCAAATAACAATGAAATCTTACTGCAAAGGACTAAAGAATTGGAGGAAAAAAACAGTTTTCCCAGCCTCCTCTCCTTGCAAAGTGAAGGAACCTCAGAGTTAGAAGGGGCTTTAAAGACCCTCTAGTACAATCCAGACTCTATAAGTGATTATCTACATTCCAGTGAGGGTCGCCTACCTCTACAGGCATAAAATTCCACTTATGGATAGTTCTAATTGTTAGAACTTTTTTTTTTTACATTAAGCTGAAATCTTTCTGCAGCATGCACAAGTTGCTCCTTGTTCTGCTTCCCAGGGCCAAGCAGAATAGCAGTAGGACAGTGGAAAAGAATGCTGGATTTAGAAATCAGAAGAACTTAGCTTGGGACCTCTTGTCACTCATTTCCTGTGGAACCTTGGGCAAGGTCCTTACTTAATCTCTCTGGATCTCATTTTCCTCATCTGAAAAATGGAATGTTCCGTTGTAACTCTGCAGTCCTGGATCTATTCTATCCTCTAAAAGATGAGCCATCAGATACTTGAAAACATCTGTCATGAGGTTGGACCCCCAGCCCCCCTCTGCAAGTCCTCTCTCAGCACTGAATATCACCAGTTCCTCCAACCAGTCCTTACTTATATAGAGTGCTGGCCATGATTAGAGGTAGTGAGAGACATAAAGCAAATTTCCCTGATCTCCATTCAGTTCTGGAGGAATGAGACCAAAACCTATTTAAGAAGAGCTACTTGGGGTAAACTTGCCACATATATTTTGCCCTTTGTTTTTCATACCTTCAGAGATCTGGGAAATAAAATTTATTACTTTGCCCAAGAACAAAAGACTTACAGAGGTTCCCAAACTTATTTGGCCTACTGCCTCCTTTTCAAAGAAAAAAAAATTATTCAGTGCCCCTCGGGGGTTAGGTTAGGTTAACCCTTATTTTTATTCAGCCCAAGGCTAGTACGGCCTCCCTGGATCATTCCATTGCCACCCATTGGGTGGTATTGCCCACTTTGGGAACCTATGGACTGAAACAGTAGACTGTGGCAAAGTGAATGTAAATATGAGATAGTTGTATTGTCAAATGACTTTCCAGCCACTTGTAAATTGTTGATAAAATCATAAATTAAGACTTACCTATGTATCAGTTATCTGTAAACCTATTTGAGAATGGTATTTGAAAGTCACTTCTCAAATGACCTCTTTCTCTCTAGAATTGTAGGTGCTCTCTTTAGGCAGGCTTTATGATCTTTGTTAAAAAGATTTCATTTGTATAAAGAAATATAAACATATATCAGGAGTTACTTAAAATTTTTCCCCCATTATATGTTAAAACAATTTTTAACATTTTTTTAAGGTTTTGAGCTCTAAATTCTATCCCTCCCTTCCTTCCCTCCCCTCTCCTTGAGACAGTAAGCAGTACAATATAGGTTATATGTGTGCAGTCATGTAAAACATTGATTCAATCATTTTGTGCAAGAAGACATGAAGAGAATGAAAGAAAGTGAAAAATAGTATGGTCTGTATTCAGACAATATTTAGTTCTTTCTCTGGAGGCAGATAACATGTTTCATCATGAGTCCTTTGGGATTGTCTTGCATCATTGTATTGCTTAGAATGGCTAAGTCATTCACAGTTCTTCATCATACAGTATTGCTGTTAGAACTTTATCCTGGTTCTGCTTGCTTCACTTTGCATCAATTCATGTAAGTCTTAGGTTTTTCTGAAATCATCCTGGTTGTTATTTCTTATAGCACAATAGCATTTCATCACAATCATATGCCACAGCTTGTTAAGTCATTCCCCAATTGATGGGCATCCCCTCAATTTCCAATTTTTAGCCACCACAAAAAGAGCTGCTATAATTTTTATACAAATAGGTTCCCTGTCTCTCTCCCCTCCCCATCCCCAATTTAGAAAAATATATATTTTTTAAATCTCTTTGGGAAAAAGACCTAGCAGTGGTGTTCTTAGATCAGAAGGTGTGCACAGTTTTATAGCCCTTTGAGCATAGTTAGGAATTACTTTTTTAAAAGATAAAATACACAATTCAGAAAAGTTTTAGCAAAATTTTTCCTTGAAATAGAAGATACCACATTCATAGCCTGCACGTATCTTATAAAATAAATGAAAAAAGGGAATGGGGAGCCAAATAGTAATCATTAAGCCATAAAGAACATAATATGTGAGAGCTTGAAAGACCCATAGAGATTATTTCATCCAATTTCTTTACTTTATACATTAGGAAGCTAGGGTCAAGGGACTTAAGAGCACTCAGCTTGGTTGTTGGCAGAGCTAGGAAAGCTTTCACGTCCAGGTACTGCGTTTTATCAGGGATAGGTTAAGATGTTTGGATTCCATCTTCCAAACGTGGATAATTGTTTTATTTCTTGAGGAGAGTGGTTGCTATAATGACATCATAATAACAAAATATTTTTAATAGCATTTTGAAGTTTATTTCACACAAAAGCCCTTTGAGGTATAGGTATTACAAGTATGGATGATTGACTTGTCTGTAGTCTCACAGTGCATTCTAAAGCGAAGATTGGAAGCCTGATTTCTCCGGGCCAGTATGTATTGAAGTCACAGTTAAAGATAAAAGGTTGAGGAAAGGTTGAGGAGCCTGATCATTCTGAGCCACTGAAAATGTACTGAAGGGCTTTAGTTACCACAGCTTCAGCAGGAGTAGGAATATAATTATAATTACTAGACTTAAAGATAGGACTTTCAACACTATGCCCTTGGGTCACTCAACAACGGAAACTTAACAAAATTAATAGTAATAGCTTACTTTTTCCTTGTCCCCATCTGATTTATTTTCCCTTGATGTACTTAGAAGATTTAGTTGTTAATTTTTTTGTTTCCTTCTCTTCAGTGTATATTCTAATTCTGCTTTCCTTGTTCTATATCTGTGTTCTTTTGTATGTTTTTGTATTTTTATTCATATTTATCATTTTTTGTATCTCAGCAACATTGATATCCCATATTGATAAAATATTTACTAATTACTGGCTTTGTAAGTTGTTTACAGTTTTTTCCTACTACTAATAAAGTAGCTCTGAATATTTTTGTACAGACAGATATATGTTTTAACTTTAAAAACACATCTTCATCGCCTCAAATTTACTAACAGATAAGATATATTCTTTATTTTTAAATGCACAAAGTAACAGTAATAGTCATACATAATGAATTGTAGAAATAAAAATTATACTTTGTATATAATTTTATACAAAAGGCTGCCTCTTAACGTACTTGAAAACTATGGAATTATTCACACTTAAATGTTATACATAATATTTATTTTTGTTTAACAAACCTTTGATGATGACGCAGCCTGTCTGAATTAGCATAAGTTCCAAATCTGGTTTGACTCTACTTTCCTGATTTCCTAATTTATCCTAATTTCCATTACCATAATTTTGTGCCCTTTTAAAATATAGGCAAATCTTGTTGCATTCACATCAGAATTTTAGCTGTCTCAATGTAAACATTTAGTGTGGAGGCAATTTATGCTATTATTTGCAGATAATGGTTCTTTCACTTTAAAAAATGTATTGGAACTATGTGTAGTGCACTGTAGACACCAGAGCATGTAATAGAAAACACTGTGTTGTCTTTTGGAATTCAGTCATAAGTAGGAGTAGGTGGCATAGCCATAGATGAACATTAGACTACAGAGAAATCATAGTGTGTGACTTGGTTTAGCAGAGCCCAGTGTTTTTGTGGTGGTGAAACTGAGTAGATATGTGAAGGCAGGAACATATATGATAGGAAATTGGATAGGGAAGACTTTCCATAATTATAAACTAAATAAGGTTGAGATGGTAAGGTAGTGCTCGGCTGTCAGCTTTTAGAGAAAAGCTGCCACAGTAGCCCTAATCCCCTGAGAATCATTTCCTTCTGCTGCAACACATGTTTTCTTCTCTCTCTCTCACCATCCCACTCCCCCTTTGCCACCTCTGTTTAGAGATCCTTCCCCGAAAAGATGTGGCAAGCTGAGCTCTATATTATAGGTTAACCGTGGAGCTTTATCTGCATATGTGTGAATTGTAGCAGTACATGTTTTGTAAATTGTGTATATTAAATTGCTTTAGATGATAACTACTGGCATTTATATAGTGCTTTAAAATTTGCAAAGCAGTTTATATTCCTTTTGAGATAGGAACTGCAGGTATTATTATCCGCATTTTATAGTTGAGGAAACTGAGTCTTGGACAAGTTTGTCTCAGAAGAGACTTTAGCAAAAATTGCTTATCCCCTAAATGTCAGGAATGGAAGTTAAACCCAGATCCGTTTTACTCCAGCACACTGTCCTTTCTGCCATGTAGTACATACATTCTTCTTGGTTGCTGCTCCTCCCCTTTACTTATGTATCGTGTGGTTCGGATTCAGTCAGGAATATTGAATGGTTTGTCATATATTCCTAGGATTTCATAAAACTGGAATAGCAAAACAACTAGGACAGCACTTCTCATAGTATCCTTTCATTTTCGTATTACAGTAAAATTGATTCGATCCATTCTAATGAAAAACAGAAATAAATTCATAGACAACCTCAGAACCACCTTCTGTCTAATTGCTTCAGCCCCTTCATTAGAAACCTTTTTCTTGTTAGCTAACAGGTTGATTTTAATATGATTAGAAGAGCTGCATAGCTTTAAAGATACTTTGTATTTCTGTGTGAAAATAGTTTCAGATTAAGACCTGAGAAATCCCATTTTATCTAGTCATAGAACTATGTAAGTATCCATGCTTTCCCAAAGACTATGGAAATTGTCTGTTATAGACAGATAAGCATAAATAGTGTATCAGTGTGTTTCAAAGAGTATGTTGGGAATTATGTGGACCATACCTTGAAATCATATGCATGCCCACATCTCCCTGCAATTGTGTATGATTTACACGTGTAATTACACGCTTATGCCCATCATCCCCACCAAGTCTCCCATCTCTCCCATTGTGTGCCAGGGAGTCCTCACAGCAAAACGTTATATTACGTTGTGAACTTTAAAGCTTAATAACCACAATTGTATAGCTATCATCATTATTATATAGTCCAAAGCGCTTAAAGATTTCTGGGTTGTCGTGGCGGTTTTTTTGTTTGTTTGTTTTTCCACCTATAAGTCTGATGTTTTTATGACAGTTGTCATCTAAGATTTGGATTATCACCCAACACACAAGTGATATGGGTCTTTACAGTTTGTTTCCTTACGTATTTGTTTTTTAAAGAAAAATGTGATCTCTTTAGGACTTCCTAGGCAATTAAAATTTTAAAGATTCAAAAATATTTTACCTACATGCAAAATCATAATATATAAAAACTAAATTGAAGGCTGCATTAATCCTCTGAAAAGTATGCTATTTTGTAGTTACAATTTTACATTTTATTTTAGACAGCTTTTAAATATGTCACATAGTGTGGTTTACCTTTACTCTTCATTTAGAATTTCTCCTAATTGGAGGAAATGTATACATATACAATATGTATGTATGTAAGAGAGAAGTAAATAGAATAAGAGGATAGAGAAAGGAGCTTACACATCTCAGAATCCTTTGTTTAGGTTAGAGTCAAAACAACTTCATCTGTTGTATTTAATGCATCAGACTTTCCAAAATGTTCATTTTAGAATAGTATGTTCTCAGAGTCCTTTTGATTAAGGAAACCTATATTATTATGTTACTATGCATTTTGTTATAAAATTTATTAGTTTTTTCATAGAAATAAAGTTGTCATGATATAAATCACATGCAACTTTATAAGAAGAATCAGAATATGTAAACCAGAAGGAAATGGTAAATTCGTGTTGCATAATAACCTGAAATGCAAAATGCAGAGACAAGGTGCACTATTATCTTCATTAAGTTCTCAGCCATGTGAAGGATAAAAGCAGTTCTTTGCTGCATGTAACTTGTAAAGTATAGTCGGTGATAATGGACTCTTTACTCAGTGCTTACTAGTATGTGTCTGGAAATCATCTCTGATGCTGAAATATTGGTAACTAGAGCTTGAAAGCATTGAGCAATATAGGGTGCCACCAGCTTAGATAAGAAATAAGACAAACTAACTCCACTTTGTCTTTCATTTCTTGAGTAAAACCAATTTTAATGGACTTAAGACTCGTAAATTCATGAATATTTTATAATAAAAGGTATTGCTATATGCCTAATAAAGAAGTACATAGTTTACCAGTTTTAATTAATCATTTATATGATAGGCCTATTAAAACTGTTATGAACACAACTTCTACGATACCTACACAATTTCTACGATTCAGAGAATACTTCAGTATCTCACAGTTTACAAGGATCATCCTTGTGAGCATTGGTTTTTTCTCATACTCTGGTTGTGCAGGAGTGCTAGATAAGAGAATTAATTATAAGATCATAAATTTAAAGCTATAAGATACCTTAGAGGTCATTGAGTCCAACCTCCAAATTTTTATAGATGAGAAAACTGAGACTGAGGGTTATGGCTTGCCCCAAATCATCCAGTTAATGAGAGTCCGAGGCATGATTTGATCTTAGACCTTACTGACTCCAAGCCCACCCAACTATCCATTGAATCACTTCAAATGCTTAGTACCAGGTGACTCAAGTGTACAATGAACTGATTTCTATGAATAAATTTAAAAGAAGGGAATGGGTTTCACTGGTTTCACTTGTTATAAAGGAATTGAAGAAGTGAAAGATTAATGTGAGTTAAGTTTATAAACTGCCCCTGTGTAGCAAACATACTAATCTTAGTAGGAATTAACTTGTTCTCTAGTCTGTAAAGATTTACTCTCTAGTCTGTAAAAATATATAATACTATCAGATTCAATTTGGAAATATGTTTGTACTCCATTGCATGTACTAGTATTATACATAATTTGAACATTCACTTTTCTGCTGTCTTCCTTTCTTCTTTCTCTAATATCCTACCCATGACTTAGAATTAACAGCATCTAAGTCTGATTTTCTGTTACATGTTAGCTTAATGATAAAGTAGTGATCATTGTGTTAACTCAGACCCAGTTTGGGATTATTTTCCCACTTAGTTATTTCTTTCCTTCTTCTGGAAGGCAGAAGCAAGCCATCAAAGTAGATTGCATTTATGTTGCAAAAAATTACTTAGATCCTAAGTACCTTAATTACCAGATTTCTTTTTGAAGTACGTTATCAACATCTAGCAAGTTCATTATAAATTTGCCTTCTTTGTATCTTCTTTTATCTCACAACTCATATTTTCCCCTCATTGTTTCCACTTTGGTTTTGCTTGATTTCCATCCTAATACTTCCAGTTAAAATTTTGATATATATTTATGTTTTTCTACCACTAGCTAGAAATGATTGCCATGGAGAATCCTGCAGACTTGAAGAAGCAGTTATATGTGGAATTTGAAGGAGAACAAGGAGTTGATGAAGGAGGTGTTTCCAAAGAATTTTTTCAACTAGTTGTGGAGGAAATCTTCAACCCAGATATTGGTATGTATTTTGGTAATGTGTTCATTCTCTTAGATCGTTATTTGTGTGCTAGGTTTCTCCCAATTATGTACCCATCCTTTAGAATTGATTATTTGACTTAGCTTGAGGGTCAGCATACCTATAATTTGTTCCTGATTCAGAAAAATGGAGTAAGACTTTGTTATATTTTATACATTTTATCAGTTAGTTGTAAGCTAGGAACTGGTGTAAAATATTTAAATCCTTATTGAAGTGATTAGGTGACCTGTTAATATTGGAATGGCATCATTTACATAAATTATTTTTAAAACTCCTTAGGAACCATCCACATCAGATGAAGTTGAGTTTCATCTTTTCTTCCAGCTCCTTTCTTCTTATAGTAAAAGATAGAGAATATTACTAGCCTTCTGAGTTGAAATCTAAATTCTACCAAATGAATAAAACAAGAAAAAGGAAAAAAAAACTTCCGGGTAGTTCATGATGTGTTGCTTTGCTTAATACAGGGTTCTTTAATAATTACTAAGTTAGCATATGCTAAATTGGTGAATAGTATAAAAAGTATAAGAAAGTCCTTGTATTTCTGAGTATGTGTAATACAAAATAAAGTAGGTTATCTCTATTAATTTTGAGGGTTAGTATAGTGTGTCCCAAGTTTTAGTGAAATTTTGGGGTTGAATAGCTTTAAAATGACTTTTAATTCTGCTTTAATGGCTTAAAATTGCACTGAGCCTTTTGGGATACTGTATATGCCACATTGTATCTTAAGAGAAACTAAAGAATTTTTCTTGTTTATTACTCCATACTAAATTTTAATTTGATGTGGTTTGATTTAATGATTTGAACCGCTTAGTTGCAAAAGAAGTCAGATTTTGAGTTTATGGGGGAAAGAAAAACATTAAAGATTCAATTAGAAAAACATATGTTGGGGCAGCTAGGTGGCACAGTGCATACAGCACCAGCCCTGAAGTCAGGAGGACTTGAGTTCAAATGTGGCCTCAGACCAAACGCTTGACTGTTACTTGCTGTGTGACCCTGGGCAAGTCACTTAACCCCAATTGCCTAAAAATTAAAAATTAAAAAAAGAAAAACATATATTAAACAACTTACAGAAATTTCATAGTTTTATTGCACTTCTAAGTTTACAAGGTAATTTCACAATCCTGTGATGTCCATAGTGTAAAAGTATTATGCTCATTTTATAGATAAGGATATTGAGGCTTAGAAGAAAAGCAACTTACCCGAGGTCAAATACAACATTAAAATATCAGACCTGGAATTTGAGCCCAGGTTTTCTGATTCTAAAACAGTTGTTTTTACCACTGCATCAGTATGATGGACAAGACATTGTGCTATGTAGCCGGGATTTAAAGATGAAATGCGTCATAGCTTCTGAATCCCTCAAGGAGTTCAAAATCTAATATGAAGATAAGACATATTACACAAATAAAAGTAGGAGCGGTGATTAGAAATGCAGAAGGGTGGGTTTAAGGTTTATAGAAAGGAAAACTTAGCTATTAGGACTCCAAAAGTGAAAACCTTAGAAAGTTATTGATTCTTCTTTGGAGGATTCTTTAAGCAAAGGCTGATTGACCACTGTATGGCTGTGTCATAAAGAGGATTCTTGTTCAAATATGGAGTATATTAGAAGGTCCCTCCCAATCCTGTGAGTGCCAAGACGGTTAACCAACAATGTTCAGTACTATAGCAAGGTTGAGGAACCAAGAAAAGGCCATTGGATTGGGCCATTGGAATTTTTGGTAACCCTACTATCAGAGTATTTTCAATATAGTTGTAGAATGGTAACCAGCTTGATGAGTCTTTGAGAAATGAAGGGGTGGTGAGTAAATAAATAGTCAGTAAATATTGATTATTTTTTGCAGAAGTTAGACAATGAAGAAAGGAGAAAGATGGGACTATAGTTTGAGGATAACAGGATCAAAGGGAAGGTTTTGTTTTTAAAGGCTACATGAGACATGAGCATGTTCCTTGATGTCAGGGAGATACTACTGGAGGGAGTGATTGAAGATCAGTGAGAGAGACAGAATGATCAATGGAACAGGATCCCCGAGTAGAGAGAAGGGGATGGTATCCCAGGCATACTTGAAAGGATTAACTAAGCAAAGGGGAGGGCCATTTCTTCTACACCTCTTGAAGGAATTGGGAAAGACAGAAATACTAAGGGTGCTTCAGACTTCTCTGTGTGATCAAAGATGGCGGGGGAGAGAGGGAGTGGGACTGAGTGTGTGAGACAAGAGATTGTCTGGAAATAGTCACTGTGGGGAATTGATAGAGAATCGTTAAGAGGTGGTGAATAAAGGATAACCCGTGAAGTGAGGATCCAGTTAACATCAGATAATATGATTCTGCAATGAACTCAGTCAGCTTGGTTTCTGATATTTAGCCATAGGAACGTCAGCTTAAATCATGCATGTTTAAAAAATGCTCTTCCTTGTCTTTGAGGCAACAGCATTTTGTTTTGTATGGTCACTTGGAAAAGATACAACCACAGCAATTTGAAGTGTTTTTACCCTTTGAATATAAGATTTCCTATTATTTTGGTTGCAGTCATGTTGGTTTACTGATAATAATTTTGAAAGATCCTATTAAGTTAGTAGCCGGTTGTTGAATAGTGACACTCTATTGAAGTAGGTACTTTTAAAATTGTCTGTATCATGGTACAAGTTTGCATTTACATTTAAGTGCCAACATAAATTTTTTTAATTTGACTTTTGAAATGCCATATTAAGTGCCATGAAAATGTTATTGTAGAAGCAGATCTCATTAATTAAATTCCAGGATATTCCTAAAATACCAAACAAATTATGCCAAGGATTTGAAAGCTTCCTCTCTTTCCATGTACAAAGATCACGCTGCTAGCCAACTATATCAGTCAGACCAGCTGTTTAGAGTTGTTTTTCCAGCAGTAGTGGATTTGCACAGATCACCATCGTCTTTAAGGCTAGAAGCAATGCTTTGTTTGAAATCTGGTTCTAGAATTGAGTTCTTTCCTCAGCCTTGCTTCTGATTCAGTTTATTGACTGAATCTGCTCTCTCTAACCAACGAAGTTATTTAACAAAATCCATCAGAAAGTAAATGATGGTATAACAGATTTGTCAAGGCAAGTGGCTTTTTTTCCCTCTTATTTCCTCTGGCTAAAGTATGATTTTTATTTTAGTGATATATTTTACTGTTCACTTAAAAATTATTTCTTCTGAAATGCAGATTAATTTAATTTAGTAAGAAATGGGGCAAAATATATTCATTTTAAAATTAGCATATCAATGTTTTAAAGCAGCTTATAAATGTTTTCTAATTTTGACAATTGGTTTATCATTTTATATTTTAAGTTTCCTTCTCTCTCTCCCACCGCCTCAATGTAAAATTGTCTTTTATGTAATTTACAGAAAGAATATAAATTTGGCTTTGGTAGTCTTTTAAAAATCTAACATGATATACAAGTGACTGATCTCAAAACTGCTTAACATCCACTGTTATTTATAACAGATATCAGAGAGTTGAAGTCTTATGTGAATTTTCATGACTAAAGTGATTCTTAATTCTTATAGCCATTAGTAGATTATTATACAGAAAAATACCAGTACACATTCTATTATGTCTCTTCATGTAATAAATTAATGATAAGTGATATAAAAATATAATTTGTGTTAAATGATTTTTAAAAATTTTTGCTAATATGAAAGAGAACAGAATATAATATTTATAGCTTCAAAAAACTCAAAACTATTATATTCCGTTCTCTTTCATATTAGCAAAAAATTTTTTTAAATCATTTTAGTGAGTTGAAAACCTTTCAAATGCAATTCCAATATCATTAAATAATGTTTAGGTATTATAAGGAAAGTATGAGTGGTCTTCAGTGTAATAGTAAGATTTGAAAACCAAAGACTTGTGATCTCTATGAATTGTTCTAAAATTATAAGGAAAGTATGAGTGGTCTTCAGTGTAATAGTAAGATTTGAAAACCAAAGACTTGTGATCTCTATGAATTGTTCTAAAATTCTGTTGTTCTAAAATTATTTTTGAAGTTCAGAATAATAATATATGTGTAGGACACACGATGAACAACTTAGAATGGAAATTCAATCATCTTGTCAAAATATGTTGAGAATATGGCATGTGAACAGGCTGTGTCAGAAATTCCAAAATGAACAGAAAGGGATCCTTGCCACCCAAGGATCTTATAATAGGTGGCAATATGTATGCAAATAAATGTAATATAAAGTAGAAAATGGCTAGTTTGTAAGAAGGACACAAAAGTTCTACATGAGTTAAGAGGAAAGAAAAGAGATTATGTGAAGCTAAAAAATGTAGGCTGTAAATATAGATTCAGATTTGCTCCTCTTACAGATTTATTATCGTTTTGTATAATATACTTATGTTAAGGATAATGTAACTACATCAATCAACTATCTAAATTTAATTAAAATAATAATAATGACAATGGTAATTATTATCTCATTTGCTCAGCACAACAACCCTTGGAGGTATATATTGTTATATATTGCCTAGGGCCACACAGTTAATACTATCTGAGGTTGGATTTGAATTCATATCTTCCTGACTACAGGTACAGTGCACCATCCTCTCCTCTGCCTAGCTGCCCTGTAAACTGGAATACATTTATGAGCTTAAATTTAAATACATTTGCCTGTATTTATATTACAAGACAAAAACTCCCAAATTCTGCTTTGTAGTTATGAGATTTAAAACAACATTAACTAAAAATTTCTGTTAGAACTATTTAGTGAGATTAAAAAAACATACAAAACATTTTACATTTTTTTCTTTTTCCGGAAATGCGCTGTTTTTCATGTTTGGTCACTCACTGCAGCAGAAATAGACCTAGGAGCTTTAAAAGATGAAAATGACACCTTTTTTCCTCTTTTTAAGTGGAATATTATAAAAGGCAAATTTAAGGAACATCCCCCTACTATCATACCAAGATCCACTGGAATTCTTTATTCTTGCATGTTTCATTAGCTTCCTGAAATCATATGCTACCACTTTTTAAATTATATGCTTGCAGCATATTCTAAAATTTGCCCTTTTGTTTTTTTAAATGCTGATTTTTTTCATATGTAAACATGAATTTTCCTACTTTTGTACAAATTAGTTTGATATTTGTATATAATTAAATTTTACACTTGTTTTATTTTTTTTTCCAGTCATAAATCTTTACTTAAAGAAAATAAGTAATATATTTTAAAATCATTTCTTATAGGTATGTTCACATATGATGAATCTACAAAACTGTTTTGGTTTAATCCATCCTCTTTTGAAACTGAGGGTCAGTTTACCCTGATTGGCATAGTACTGGGTCTGGCTATTTACAATAACTGTATACTGGATGTGCATTTTCCCATGGTTGTCTACAGGAAACTAATGGGGAAAAAAGGAACTTTCCGTGATCTGGCAGACTCTCACCCAGTAAGTGTTTGTTTTTTACTTTCTCCCTTACACTTGATATAAATGTGAGAATTCAGTTTATATTAAAAATATTCATGTTTTGACTAATGTGAAAATGTTTAATAGGAATATACATGTGTAGATTGTGTGCCATCTTTAGGAGGGAGGGGGGAAAATTTAAAACTCAAAAGCTTATGGAAGTGATTGTTGATAACTCAAAATAAATTAATAAAAAAATTCATGTTTAACATTTCTAAAGTACTGGCTACTTACTTAAATATTAACTACAATGGTGGTAGTATTTAAGAGTAGGTGTGGAATACTGGCCTTTACTTTCTTTCAAATGTGGGCTACTTTACTGGGCTCTGCCTATTATGATGTGGCATGCTTGTTTTCAAAAGAAATAGTTAACTATTTGTTATGATTTCAAATTCACCAGCAGGCTCACTTGTCAGTTGTTGTTATTTTCTTCTTCTTCTTAAATGTTTAGGTTCTTTATCAGAGTTTAAAAGATTTGCTGGAGTATGAGGGAAGTGTGGAAGATGACATGATGATTACTTTCCAAATATCTCAGACAGATCTCTTTGGTAACCCAATGATGTATGATCTAAAGGAAAATGGTGACAAGATCCCCATTACAAATGAAAACAGGAAGGTAACCCATGCCTTGAGTTCTTCATTGCTCTTCATTTCTGTGCATTGCAAAATGTCTGTCATGTATTCTGGGTATTTTCAGATCAATATCTAAACACTACATCTAAAAGTTAAGTGATCAAATAACCAATTTCATTTAAGTCTTAAAGTCCACATTTTCTAATTTTTTTGAGTAATGCAGGGCAATTTGTAATACCATCTTTCAAAGAACTATGGGTTTTATAATAAGCACAGGTCTGTTTCTTTATGAACAGTGAGCTACTGTTAGTGTATTTATAGAAACACTTCAGAACTTTATGTATCTTTATATTTCATAAACATGTGTGACTGTATATGTACGTGTATGTGTGTGTGTGTGTGTATGTGTGTGTGTAAATATGTGTTATGATGAGATATTTATTAGTTCAAGTGGTGAAACTTTGAAAATATTGTACTTGGCACCACATAGCTAACCTTTTCTTAGAAGCCTGTGACAGGATAGCTACCAGCAGTTTATACTCACTTTGCAGGTGATTCAGGTAGAGGTTAAGGTGAAGATAAAATGATCAAGAGAGATTTGACAGACTGATGACCACCAGAGGGATTTGGAAGGATATAAATAAAGGAAGCTGTGCTCAGAAGACAAACTTTGAAGACATTACAATTTTATCCAGAACTCAGGTCATGTTTTCTTTTTTTTTGGAAAGGAATGTGAATTAAGATATTTTTGTCATGCATTTGCAAACTCAGGCAATGCTGTCTTACATGATCATCAAGATTTTTGTAATGCTTTTTTGTTTGTTTTCACACAGCTGACTTAATTTATAGGTGTTTTTAATCAACCAATCAGCAAGTATTAAGTTTGTACTATGTATGGGCCACTGTGCTAGACCCTAGAGATGCAAATACAAAGAATCAAAGAATACTTCCTCCCAAGGGGTAATAAATGAAATGGCAAGTCTAATTACTAATATATACCATGTAATTAAATACAAGGAATTTTGGAAAGGAAGGCATTAGAGTTGGAGAGATCATGAAAGGTTTCTGGTAGCATGTGGTGCTTGGCCTATGAGACAGAATTGAAGTGCGAGTTATTTTAGGTATGGGGGTGAACAGTGCAAAGACGTAGAGAAGGAGAATCTAGTGAAAGGAACAGAGAGACAGTCAGTTTGTATGGAGTACAGGTGCAGGAAGGCAGAATAATGTATAGGGAGACCAAAGATAAGTAGGAAAGAAGCCAGTGGGGAAAGGGCTTTAAAAGCTAAATTGGAGTTTATATTTTATCCTGGAGGTAACAAGGAGTCTCTGGAATTTACAGTGGGTAGGGTGGACTAGAGTGGTGAGACTTTGAGGCACGCACAGAGACCATTAGAAGCTGTTGTCATGTTCCCAGTGAGAATGAGTGGAGAGAAAGAATTTGATAGGAGAGGTGTTGTGAAGCTTTGTTCACTGTATCTACAAAATGATACCTGTGTAGTTTGTCTTCGTGCATATCTCTTCATAGAGTAATTGTGTTTATGTAGAGTCTTCTGTAAATCAGATTTCCATCGAAAGAAAGGTGTTCCATTGGGGCTAAAAAGGGCAAAAACAGAATAAAACTACAGTTCAGCCTTCCTTCAGTAACACAGAAAGAAAATAAATTTGTAACAAAATACCAGCATCCAAAATATAATATAATATAAATGTGGCATAAAATCCATAGTGTTAATTTTATGTTTTAGTACCCTATCCTGTGGGCCTTATAGAAGAAATAATGTCAAGGAGACAATATGGTATGGTGGAAAGAGCACTGGCTCTGGAATCAGAAGACCTGGGTTCAGATCCTGTCTCTGCGACCTGTATGACCTTGGGCAAGTCACTTAACTTCCCTGTGCCTCAGTTTCTTCAGGTATAAAGTTAAAGGGTTAGACTAGATGGCCTAAGAGGTCTCTTCCACTTCCAGATACATATGATCCTGTGAACATAAGAGGACTGGAAAAAAAATCACCTAGCTTAAGTATTTTATAGGAAAATAGCATGTAATTTTCTGTTTGCTTAGACCCTCTGAATACCATTTTGTGGAAGCCACTAACTTTTTAAAGTAAATACTCTTATTTGAAGAAAAGGTAGGGAGAAACATACATAAAAGATGGTGACTTAGCACATTGACAGAAATACAAAGCTGGGGAGACTTCAACATTTTGTAAACCAAGACTTCAAGTGTTTTAAATTGAGTTAGCTTCTAGATTCGTGCATTGTTTTAATTTCTGTATATTGAATTTCTGTGAAGTATGGTTTCTGTGAGGTTAATGAGGTCTATCTATAGCATTTCTCCCATCTCATATAGAGATATGCCAGAAACATCTGAGTTACAAAATATGCTTTTTTTATATCTGTGAATGTTGTATTGAATTTTAAAACTATTCTTGAACTTGATTTCCTTTGGGGAAAAAAATATACTACCCAAATGTTTACCTTTTGTTTTCACTGCCACAATAAATTCCTTTGATTAATGTTTTCCTTCAGGAATTTGTCGGTCTCTATGCTGACTATATTCTCAATAAATCAGTAGAAAAGCAGTTCAAGGCCTTTCGGAGAGGTTTTCACATGGTGACCAATGAGTCTCCCTTGAAGTACTTATTCAGACCAGAGGAAATTGAATTGCTTATCTGTGGAAGCCGGGTAAGAAGCAGGCACATGGTTTTGTTTTTTGTTTTTTTAAACGTAAAACTCATTTATTCACTGATTCATTCCAAAGAAGCTAGTCTAGAAGATGTTAAGAGATACTCTTTTGTTTTCAGAATCTAGACTTCCAAGCATTAGAAGAAACCACAGAATATGATGGTGGCTATACCAGGGACTCTCTTATTATTAGGTAAGATGCTCTGTCTAGAATGGCACCATTTTGTCCATTTAATGGGGGCTGGAGGGTATTTCATGTTTTAGGTCCCTTTATGTATTCTTTAATAGTAAAAGACCTAACCTTTAAAGTTAAAGTCATGGAAATTTGTTTAAAAAAACCCACTCATTTAAAAGTCAGGGCTTTGATTTATTGCATAAATAAATTAAATACATCATGTGCAGGCCAGCTATTTTAGTATATGTTTGGAGCATACATTTTCTAATATTTTTAGTGACATTGCCAGCTGAGAATGGAGAAAACTGTGACATTAACTCTATTCTTCTTTTCCATGCTGAAAAGATAGCAAAACTTGACTTAGGGCCACGGTAACTAATAGGCCAGTTATCAGCTGGTAAATCTGTGACCTCCAACTTGGCAGATTTCCAGGACCATAGCCTTAGGGCATTTCTGTATCCCTACTGTCCAATAATATTAGAAATGATAGGTATAAAATACAGATTTCAGGGAATGTAATGAGGTAAAAAACCATTAGCTCCCTGTGTGCCAAATTAGCATTGTTAGCATGGATATAAAACCATGATTAGATGTCCTAAAGTTATCAACAGTTTTCAGCGTGATCCCCATTCCTGCTTACTCTCTAGGAAAATTTTCCAAGCAGTGTCTCTGCTTTTTCACCCACCAGGGGAATCTCAAGGACAAAGTAGCTTCTTAACAGAAAGGATTTGGGAACTTAAAAAGTCTTCATGTTTCCAAGAGACTCCATAAGTTTGGAGGTAGTGGGTTATTTTTGTTTTGTTCCTCATTAACAGAAGAGTCTGCTTTTCTTATAAGTAAATGAATTAATATTGTTTTCACTCCTCAGTTTAGATTTTGCTTTTATTCAAGTAGCCAAGCTTCTCATAGTCTGCTGTTTCAAGTACTTCCTCTAGAATAGAAATCATCCCTTTGAGATTTCATTTGTCCAACAGAATTCACTCTCTAGGCCCTACTTCCATCAGATGCTGCCACTTAAGAGATCTCACTCCTTATTAGTTGCTTTTTTAAATAGAAGTATAAAACAGAATAGGGGGTTGAGGATGATTCTGAGGGTTCTCATTGCCCATTAGGAGCTGTTCAAACAATAGGAGCAGGTGAAAAACAGATTTGGGGGCTAGGGCGTAGGCCACTCTGCTGCCATCATAACTAGTATTCAATGTATCACCAGTTTAGAGAGACCATAAAGATCTTGGGGTTCAGCCTCCTTATTAGGAAACTGAGATGGAGAAAGGGGAAGTGATTTGCCTTAGGTCACACAGGCAGTGAAGAGCAGTTAGGATCTAAGCCCATGTCTTTTAACTCTAAATCAGTGCGCTTTCTGTTACACCATCCTGCCCATCATTTGGTATTTAAATGGTATGAATTTTCATAGAAGATAGGCATACATACCCACACATCCCAAAGCCAACTAAAAGAGATTTTCTCCCCTGAAATGTCAGATTACCAGTGCTTACTTCTACTTGCATGGATAATGAAAAGTTACTTTGATATGTCATATTCCTCTTATAACTTGGCCTTTTATTACAGGGATTGAAGTGTGTCATCATTCAAATGATACCCTTCAAATATAACTGTAACACAAATTTCACAAGTCTGAACTATGTTAAGCTTTCTCCTCAACCCAATACCATCCTTATAAAGAGGATTCTGTTGTTTTTACAATTTTCATACCTTTGTTTTGAGGACATTTTATGCACAAAACTTTTTCAAGAGTATTTTTGCAACGTGCAATGTTTGCATCTTGTGTTGATATGTTGATACTTAGATTTTTGATACCATTGATGTTCATATCAACAGTGGTACAGATTGCAGCCCATCTGCTCTATCATCCTGGGCAGTTCTTTTCCATGTTCTCCCATCAGTTCTCCACAAAGGGTACAGGGCCTTCTTCTGTATGTCTTGATATTGTGTGGATGTCAGTAGAATATACAGGCAGTTCTTCAGTCATCGCTCGATCTCGTCATGTTATCACCATCCCACCATCCTTCTAATCTCAGTCAAACTCCTTGAAAAAGCTGTCTGTACTCACTGCCTTCACTTCCTCTCCTCTTACTCTTCAACCCTTTGCAGTCTGACTTCTGACTTCATCACTCAACTCAAACTGATCTCTGTGAAATTAGCAATAATCTCTTAATTCTAAATCTGATGATCTTTTCTCTGTCTTTCTTCTCTCCCCATTTTATGTGTTGCATTTCACACTGGTGACCATTCTCCCTTCTTTGATAATTGCTCCTTTCTAGTTTTTCTTGACATTGTCCTATCCCAGTTTGCATCCAGCCATTCTGACCGATACATTTCCTTCAGTGGTTCATCATGTCTCTGACCCTAAATATGGTTATGCTCCAAGATTCTGTCCTCTCTTTTCCCTTCTTCCTTTTTTCTCTTTCCTCCCCCCTACTTCCTCTTTCCTTTCCCTCCCTACTCCCCTCATCTCTCTGTCTCTCCCACTCCCTTCACCTCATACTCTTCTATGTGTTTAACTTTCATCTCTATGGAGACAACTTACAGATCTGTATATAGCCCCAGTCTCTCTTCTTAGCTTCAGTCTCACCTCAAGAGTTGGCTGTTAAATATTTAAAAGAGGGACATCTCAAGCACAGGATGTACAAAACTGACCTCATCTTCTCCTCCACCCACACTTTCAAACTTTCCCCTTTCTCTTCAAGGCACTGTCATCCTTTAGTCTTATAAGCTTGGCATTACTCCCAAATTTACATTCTTTCTCACCCAGTACATCAAGTCATTTGTCAAATTTTGCTGTTTTCACCTCCACAACTTCTCTTGCATATTTCCCTTTCTCTCTATTCACATAACTTTATACCTTAGTTCAAGACCTTGTTATCTCTCACCTGCATCATTACAGCAGCTTCCTTATTGTTCTCCTTACCTTAAGTTTCACCATTATAGTCCACCTTACACTCTGCTGCCCAAGTAATTTTCTTTAAGTACAGATTTTTCCATGTTACTCCTACAGGGTAAAATATAAACTTATTTAGTTTGGTTTTTTTTTAAGGTCTTTACCACCTGTCACTTCTTCCCACCCCCAGCCCCGTCCATCTTTCCCATCTTATTATACATTGCTTCCCCTCCCTGCTCAGTGATCATAACTTATCTGGACTTCTGTCTTGCTTCACATGACCTTCCATCTCCATGTCTTTGTACTGGCCATGCTCTATGCCTGGAATGAACTTGCTCAAGCATTTCCTTCTACTGAAACTTCCTGACCTCTATACACACACACACACACACACACTCCTAATTCCTTCCCACCCTATTTAATGTTTAAGTACTTGGCATATAATTATATTTAGTCACTTTATATTTGCACTCTATGGGTCATAGCTCTATAGCCTCACCAGAAGAATATTGATGTTAACAAGGTAGACCTTTGTTTCAAAGAGAACGCTTGGGTCTTTCTAAGCACAGCAGTTTTTCAAAAGGAAGCCAGTATTATTCTCCTATTCAATTCTTGATCCGGTTCGTTTTCCATATGCAGTTTCAGTTCAAGTTATGTGTTATACTGTTCAAATTTTACTGATGGAGCATCCATCTGTGGATTATTCATCTAAGTACATAGCATAGTCTGAGCAATAGGCTGTCTTTATCCATCTTGGGTGTTTTTTTGTTATTTTTTTCCATTTGAATACCTAAACTGAATGCTTTTGAGTGATTATCAGTCTCATTTAGAAAGTTGTTCATTGGGGCAGCTAGGCGGCGCAGTGGATAGAGCACCGGCCCTCAAGTCAGGAGGACCTGAGTTCAAATGCGGCCTCAGACACATAACACTTCCTAGCAGTGTGACTCTGGGCAAGTCACTTAAACCCAATTGCCTCACTTAAAAAAAAAAATTAAAAAAAGAAAGTTGTTCAGTATTATGGGTCTTAATACAATGAGCACATTGTCAACCACATATAGGAATATCTGGAGGGCTTCACCTATTAAAAATATGCTTCATTTTATTTGGACT